AATAAACCGTCGTATGGTGGTGGGGTCCCGCCCCATATTTCTTGCAATTTCTTCAGCATTCATATATTCCATAAAAGCAAGTATTTTGCCTTTGTCTATATCGGTTAACTGGGTTCGAGCGGGTGGCATATTTTACATAACAATAATTATTGTATAATGTAGGCGAAAGTTATAAAAACAAAAACAAAAGAAATGTTGTGTATAAAAATCAAAAAAAAGAGGAGAAAAACACGTTTAAATTTCGGTGTATCGTAACACATGCAAATCGGGCGTTACTTTTTGCGGCGACTGAACATTGTTGATGTGAAGATTCCGTGATTGTTATAATTCTTGTTTTGTTTTCCCGATTGGGAATACTTTAAGAGCCGACAACAAAAGGCATGTTTATGTACAGACAAATTCTGGTACGTTAATCATATTTAATAAAAAGAAATAACTAACTATATGTACAAATACATTTCAATGTCAGCCTCTCTATGTAAATTATTTTATAATCTCTAATGAAGTTATGTCTATCATACAAAAGTTTAATTAATCTCTAAGTACATTGATGAAATCTTCGAAGAATGGAGAAGTGTCAACAGGGTTACCAACAATAGGTTCGATGACAACTTTAAGATCTGCTTTGGTCATGAGTTGAGAAGCTACAAACTGACCATCGTAATTCTCGTTTCCTTCACAGATAACAGTCAATGTGCGATTTTGTACAATCTTTGCGATACCAATATTTTTGATGACAGCAACAGCTTTAGGATCCCAGAGAAAAAAACCACTAAAGAATCCAGGATCACCGCCAAACCATGTCGCGCGAATAATGGATATGAGTTCATACGTAAACTTTCCATAAAAACTTGTGAGCGTCGAGAGTTTGTTTATGAAAGCAGGATTGAGCGGTGTTTTATCTGTAAAGTCAAGAGGTATCAAATTGATCTTCAGATCAGCGGCAAGTAATTCTTGAGCAGCAACACAGTCAAGGTAAACATTAAATTCAGCACGAGTATTATTTGGCACACTAAATAGATTTCCAGCAATATCTAAAGCTCCGGCCATCCAAAAAACTTGATCGATTTTTGTGGTATAATTTGGGAAGGCACGTAGAAGTATAGCGAGATTGGTAGCTGGACCACCTGCTAGGATTGTGGGTTTCTTCCCAGTTTGTTTAATCGTAGAGTCGATGAGGCCAGCAAAGTCTCGGGTGATATTAAATCCTTTAATAGCATCATACCATATCCGCTTTGACAGTCTGAGTTTTCGATTGAGACCGAACAGCAAATCGGTATCGCGTTTTCCGTTTGCACCTTCTGGGACCGATTTCTGGTGAGTACAGCCTGGAGTACCTAAAGCATTGGGGTGTCTATCAGTTTCATAGAGGCTATAATCAGCGCCAAGTATTACAGGAATATTCTTTCCAGGATAAATGTCGTCGATGATGTCAACAAGATTCTGGGCCGAAGCTATCAACAGACATTATTTTAATATGTACCACATCTCATTCATTTTACGTATGAAAATGCTACCATATTATAATACCTGCATGGGACCATCCGTCTCCTTGATAAGTAACGCCTCGTACATCAATCTCCTTGGATTTGAGCGCGTAAAGAACCGCAAGAAAGTCGTCGAAATCACCATCTGTGTCAATAATCACAGGAATTGGCGGTCGTTGTTGTATGAAATTTGCAATTACCGAGCTAGTGAATGTAACGAGAACAGCAAAGAGTATGATAATTTTCATTTTAAAGTTTATTTTTTTCACTCTTGGAGAATGCAGCTTTATTCCTTGACAAGTCCCAGGGCAAGCGTCCAAGTTGTGAGTAGCATTATGTGTTCTTCTTTTAAATAATTCGCATGAACAATTAGAAAGTTTGTGTAAGGTTGATACTACTTAAAAGATGCGCCAACTTTACTTTGTCAAAGACCTTTATCCAATCTGATCGTTAAGATATCCATAATTGGAACTTAAAATTTTGATTGTAAAACTAAATTAAGAGTTTTTAAGACTAAATGTAAAATGGCACTTCAATAAGCTTTCACGATTCCACTACATGTACATGATGCACGTAAACTTTCACCGATGACTACATATACATATATATAGCAAGAGCCTCCTAAAACGTGCCTTAGAATGCACTAGAGGAATGAATAATTTTATTCAGCAACCAACCATCCAACCTCTGATCGGATACAGGGAAGAATCTCGTCTCGATGTTGAATACTCTACGTAAAGTCTAAATGGTAATATCTTCACAATGGAAGTCAAATGATATAGATCGAAAAGAACCTAAAGAATTCTATGAAACGCGCGTTAAGGGGTATGTTATTTGGTTCACAGAATAATAGTTTGATGGCACGACCGAATTTTGGTTTGTGTGTTAGAAATCCATGCCAAAATAATGAAACAAAGGTTCTTGGTACGTACTATCATGTACATGCACATCAAAATTTGCACATTCGTCTTAATGTGAATAAATACGTAGTACATATTGAATAGAAATACCTGTACGTAATAAATACGTAGAAGTACATATTGATAGAAATAAACATTTGTCATCTATGCATCTATTATCATCTCTGCGACGAAACTCGCCGATTATCATGATATTTTCAAACGTCGAGGTTGTTGCAATTGACGAAAAAAATCTTACGTTGTGTTTTTCTTTCGGCATCTTTTCCATCATTCTCAATATAAATAACAAATTCTCGTGAGACAGATGCTGAAGTTAATAATCGTCACTATGAAGAGTCGTATAATAGCTAATAAATTTTATTTTATTTTCATTGCTTAATTTGGAACATACAAACTGTTACTTGTAGACTCAGCATCAATATCTATATAAAATTCAGTAGTCACCTATTCTAGAGTTGTAAACAAGTATTTTTAATGCTGATACTGTATTTTTGAAAAAACACTACAAATTGACGCTTGAAGAAACTAACATTATTTGGTATCTTAGGTCGTACTTCATTATAAACGTCTAATATAAGGTGTCATAACCATTGCCAAACTATAAATATCTGCAGCTTTGATGTATGGCTTGCCATTTAGCACCTCGGGGCATAAAGAGGCATTCCAAAAATTTTGTATATCAGCTGGGCCAAAGTCAATTCGTATTGGAACTGATACGTATACCGATACTGTATTTGTCATTCTTTTCATAAACGCTATTCATTTGTACATGTAATGCACTTTAAAGCAGTCAGAATCTATTTAATTGTATTAGAAAACACAAAGCACTTTAGGGATGGTTCATTTTTACCTCATTTATAAGATCTAATGTAAATTTCTTTGATCAGGTAATGATTTCAACACAACCCTCACCGTTTAAATTTATTATATTCATGACCCCAATATTTGGGTCCAACCAGGCCAGGTTGCTTTGCAAGCTATTCAAAATTGGTGCATCTTTCGAAAGCGAAGCGACACATTCAAAACTCTATTAACTCTTTTGTTAGACAATTAAAAAATCATGAATCACAGTGTTTTTATTGTGTTGATGCATAAAAAAAATACAATATGGTGTACATGTATTAAAAGACGACATATCGATATCAATATCGTTTGGTTCAATAACTAAAACTTTAATGTACATGTACATGTATAATAAAATTAGATACAGTATGTATGGTTATTCAAATGACTTTGAAAGTCATTTAAAGTCCCAAATAACCTGTCTGATCATTTAACAACAACAACAATAATTTTACATGCCTTCTTTTTTTATTAATAGAAAAACTTAATTTAATAATAAATAAGATACCGAGCGTAATTTGCCGCATAAACGCTGTATATTTTAAAATTTTTTTACAGAGGGGGGATAAAATGACTGCTAATAGAATAATAGACAACAAACTTCTATAATACTACAATATGACCAATACTAATCGAGATTTTAATTATTTTCATTACCATTTACTTTTTCTTATTTTGGCTGTTGATAATTCAGAATCAGAATATCTTGTTTCTCTTCGAGTTTACTTGGATCCCTTTCGTTTTTGGTTTGAGATTCCTACACAGCTACTGGTAAAAAGACAGATTGAAAATGATTGTGATTTACGTTTAGTCGTGAACCAGATTGCTTTATTAAAATACAATTGGCTTTCTTTATAATAAACATTTTTGTTATAATAAGTTTGTGTTTCCGAGTATTTATTATAAAGGCGCTTTTTATATATGATACAACCAACATTCACTAGAATTAATGTAATGTTCCTTATAATTTCTATTAAATACAAATTTGAAAAATACATATATACATACTACATACAATGTTTGTTGCAGAAAGGAACCAAAAATACGACTATAAACAAAATAAAAGTCTTATAATGTCCAAGATAGAATTTTCTATAATAGTCTAAGAAAAAAAGTCTAACATACAACACCATCTACGTATTTTTCATGCAAAATACATCGACTGGTGCAAATTCTCGTGCAAATCCGGAATCACTTGCTCATTATTCTCATTCCCGGGATACAATCGTGTTCGGTTCGCTAATAAGTCAGCGTAAGCAAGCGGAGGAACAATTGAAATGGAAGAAGTGCATCTAAAAATAACCAAATGAATTTAATAATATGGAAAAAAACGAATTTGTTAGTAACAAAATAAAAAAGGTTTTACTTTTGATACAAGTAGCTAAAGAAATAAGTCATGGTCTGCACATCATCTGCAGTGAATTTATTTTCGTCGTGGAGCACGAAATAGTGCACCGGTCTAGTGGTACCTTGGAGTCCACTATGGCTTTGCAAGTCTACATATTAAAAAAGGAAATTAATGAATGAAAAAACTCGATTTAGCATGTAAAAATTCAATCACTTACAAAAATCAAATTCACATTTATGAGTAATTTCACGGTCAACAACAGTCCCTGCTACCGGGTTTCCGGCCTTATCTCCGTATTTTTTATTTTCAGGCATAAAACTAAATACCCAAAAAAGTATTAAGAAAACTCGAATGACAATAAAAAAAAATAAATTATAAAATACCGGGTTCTATGTCTCTTTTGTGCAATTATGAAAGTAAGTTTAGGTGATTTCCCAGTCGGGTATAATTGACCAAACGCCTTTCTCATATGAGTGATTTCATGATGTAAAATGGCACGAAATTGCCCCTCGCTTACACCGTCACGATAGTATATGATCTGGTGTGGAAGGTGTCCCTGGTTTTGATTTTTGAAAGCTTCAAGAAGCGAAGTCGTCATTTCGGTAAGATTATCAATTTTTTCGTCTCTTGGAGTATTTTGAGATACGCGGCCATAATACTTTGTGTAAGAATATCCCATCGATGCAGTGACGGCAGCGATACTTGGCTTGTTTGAGCCAAAGGAGGGATGCGAGAGATCGGCTCCCATTATCATAGTCTAAATAGTAAGAGTACAAAAAATTTTAAATTAACATGCTGAATGCTCAAATTCGTTGAAATTTCATTGATAAAAATTCAGACAAAAGATATACCGGCTTTGATTCAATTGAGTTTGGAAGAGAACTTTTTGGTAAATACAAATTGCAACCACCCAATTTCGAATTAATTTTCATTGAAATGTTCGTCCAAGTGGAAAAATTTCGTGGCTTGTTCAGACGGTCGGCAATTATGCATTGAGATGGGACGCCTAGTTCTATATCGGAAACTTTCTTGATTTCGCCGTAAAGTTGAGAAGTTCTTTTCGGCATAATCATGACAATCAGTTGAAGTGGATTGTTTGATGAGTTGTGCTGACTATAATAATTGTGCATCATCTAAAAAAACAAAGTCAATGTGAAGAAAAAATAAATCAAGATTCGTGTCGTGATGTTCTCTGTTACCTCGCTGACGTTTCTAACATTATTTCCGAAATAAGTCGGCGGACGATCGTTTTTGATTTCCTAAAAGAAGATTACGTGTACATGTATCATAAAAATGTCATCTAAAACAAGACAATTAGAATCAGTACATACCATTCCTTGATTTCGCATAGTCTCTGTTAACTCTCCAACAAAATTTCGTAATTTATTCTCTGAAAGTTCTGCTAATACTATCATAATCCAGTTTGCTAATGACTGACACTAAATCAAAAAAATTAATTAAAAGAAGTCGATAAAAAAATTGGGTTTTCATTATTTACTTTGGGAAATTTAAGATTTCGAATTGACCAACGACCATTCAGTGGTTCGATTTCAACTTTGGTGTATGCTAGCTTCGGTGAAGCTAGCATACGGCCTGGATTATTTGGAAAAAGAAATATCAGATAAAATTAGCGTTCGAAATAAATCAAACAAATTAAGTCAAACCTTCTACTACAGCCATGTGTTTTGAAACTTGGATGCCGACCGCTTGTAAATCATTATTATTATTAAATTGCAAATACGTGTTAATCCCATCCTCAATTTTCTTGAAACGTTCGAAGGGCTTGGCCGCAGTAAGTTTTATCATGTCAGCTTTTCCCGTGTCTGTCAAGTCTTTTGTAAACACTTGACCTAAAATTAAATAAAGATTGATTGATTGATTAAAACCAATTTTAAAAATGATTCAAAAAATAAAAATACCTGGAAGAACCTCGCATACTTCCAAGGGAAAATTAACGTTATTTTTTACAATGACGCAGAAAAGATCCTTGAATTCTAGATCTCGTTTGTACTGCTCCAAAAAATGATTTGCGACAGATATTTCGCGTCCATTTTTGTCGGTGAACTTTATGTCTTGTGCCGCATGGTTGGACAATTTTTCTATTTTGAATTTTCGGCGACTTCCACCTCTGTGTGTTATGCGAAACTGAATTCCGCGAAGAAGCTAAAAAATATTCCAAACTTAGATCAATATTGACAATTGAATCATTTATTTGCAAAATTGAAAAAATTGGATTATTACATTTTCCAGGGTGCCTTTCTGTTGCCAACCGAATCCACGGTGCAATTCTTCACGATTCCTTCCAAACAAAGCGCCAATTACTTCGAGCAAAGGACCACTTGGAAAAAAGGTCGAGACACAAACATCGACATTAACATATAAATGATCTAAAGAAAATAAATATTAAAAGTTCAGGGCTATTTTCAACGAGATACAATATAAAATATAAAATATAATATCGAAAATAAATGATCTAACAAATATACCAGTTCCGGGGTGAATAGTTTGCGAAAAACCAAATCGCAATTGAATCCCGCCATGCAATCTAAACATGCGTTCTTGATCTGGGAAAATTCCGCGTTTTACATTCGGAAATTTGTCTCGCGCCTCAGCATTAAGAATGGTATTAAGTGCTAACATTGAATTAGCGACTTGTTGAGTCAAGCCGATCTGGCCGTTCATGTACTGTTTTAATGGTTGCATGGAAATTTCACCGTGTTCATTTTTGTGGATGGTAACTTTGAATGTTTTCGCGCGCGCATTTATTTCTGAGTTAGCGTCAAGCTTTACCTGTAAAGTGAAATAAAAAAATTAAGGTAACCTAAAGGAATTATCAAATTATTATTTAATATATTACTTCAAAGGTAGAATTATCCACTTTAATTGGCAATGGTGCAGGGGAGAAAATCGACGAATTTCCATCGAAAATAGGACGGATATCGCCAAAGACGCCGTCGGCTCTCATTTTTGAGAAAATGGTGAATGCAGCGACTTTTTTCACTACTGGATCGCAGAGAAAGGTGTAATGATGGATAATTCGATCCGGAAACTATGATTTCCACAAAAAATGATTATAATCGAGGCCAAAAGTGAAAATATTTTCGAAAATTTACACGCAATAAAAAACTCTATACATTTTCAATACGAAGATGGTTGGTTTTGAGCATAACGGGTTGTCCAAGACGACCATACCCAGGTCGCGCTATTACAGCGAAATCGGGGATATCTTCGTTGGTTTTGGCTTTGCCCTTTTTAGAGGATTCAGGCTGGATATCAATTTCGCGCTTCGACATTTTGTGAGATAAAAGTGTGAGCAAATTAAGTGGTATTTGTGCGATAGGAAAGTCAAATATTGTTTGTATTTTTGTTTAAGAGATAACGTTATTTTTATTTAAGAGGGAATTTATATTAAGAGTGCGTTATTTGTATTTATATTAAGAGAGTTGTTATTTGTATTTATATTTAAGAGAAGATGGTATTTAGAAAAATTCAAAAGAATGGAGCTAGGCTATTTATATCTATTTAGAGTACTGTAACAAATCAACACGATGAATCAAATAACACGTAATAATCAGCATATTCACGTAAAAAGTCAAATTAGTTTTAACACGTCAAATTGATTCATAATTCCATATGGATTAGAATATAAATTTATGATATCAATCATTAGATATGAGTTGAAATTCCGAGATTTTTTGGCATCATGTTACGTATGCTACATTTATTACACGTATCGGTACGGAAGGTGTAATAAATATGACGACATGTTGCAAAATATTAACGAACAAGGATTGGAAGTGTTTGCTAACTTTGATTTATTAGAGTTTGCATAAATCATAACAACGATTTCTTGATTATCGTAAATTGTACATGAATTGCGTGCTATATTTTTCTTTTTTTACTGATAATACGAAGAGACTCCTTTCTTTGATATAACGCATGATGGAACAATAATAAAAAAGAACTATATCATATTTTATTCTAATGAAAATTAAGGAACACGATTTGAAGAATTTCAGCATTGTTCCTTCATCCTTGTGAAGCTCCTTTCAAACCACGCGAGAGCTCTCGTCCATGTTTGCCTACCAAACAAAAAATAAAATATCGAACTTGTACAAAAAAACACATTATATAAAAACAAATAAACTAAAGTCGGAACACATTCAAGATTCCACAAAATTTTATCATGGTGGGCAAGCATTCGATATCTTTTGCCAGCGAAACGAGCTACACTAGGAACGACATCTTTTTGGAGTTCAAAGAATTGACTTTGGTCATTGCATTTGATTCCTTAATAATAGAAACATCATGATTTCGAAGCGATTAGCGTTAGTAAATTATTAATCGAGAGTCGATTCCTATGCTCTTAATTTATTAATGAACTGTTAAAATTAATATCGATTCAATCTTTGCAACTAATTGCAATATTTGAGAGTATAGTGACAATTGTTGCATGTTAACGTTATTCATTGTTAATAATATGAAAACCATTATTTTTTATTCACTTGATTCTTCGTTTGATTCCTTTTTACTTGATTCGTTGGCATTAAGTTTGATCAGTTCTTTGTGAATAATTACATTACATGTATTCCAAAATAATTTTGAATCAGTGTACGTATCACTTTTTTGTAAGTGTATGCAGTAGATGAATTGACATTCTAAAAAAAAACGAAAGAACATTCTAAAAAAAAGAATATTCTAAAACAAATAAAACGAAAGAACATTCTAAAAAAAAAATGAAAGAACATTCATAAAAACTGAATTGCCATTCTAAAAATTGCAGATTTATAAATAAATTGACAATAAATAATTAGATTTTAATTTTGAATAGCAGCACGTGGTTTTCCTCTCGTTTTTTAAACTTCCGTGTTAAGCTTGACGACAATGGTGGTGTAGTACGTCACAATGAATAATAACGATGATAGTAATGATGATAGTAATGATAAATATATGCTTTGAAAGAGATTGTCTGCAGTTTCAAAAAGCCCATGTTTCTTTTTTTGACTCATTATGATAGTTTTACGTTAGAATGATATCGTGCATCGGAGATAATGTTCTTCCTGTTAAAAGATGTCAGAGATAAATACGTGTTACTATTTTTCGTGATCATTTAAACTGTTTTTTGTCGTATCATGAGTTTGAGTTTTAACATTAAGTCATTTCAAATATATACGTATGTCAGGTCTTTCTTTAATCCATTGTTTGATACGTTAGAAAAACAATACTACCAATATTTATTAAAACTTTCTTCACGCTTGTATATTATTATTATCGTTATTACATGTATTAATAGTGTATTTTAACATTAACTTCTGTACATACTACAATGTGATAATACGAAAATAAAGTTCCATTATCGTTATATAATAAAGTGGCAATCTCAATCTTGACAGAATTTTCCCTGCATTATTATTATGTGCAAATGCTATTTTTATACACATGTTGTTTATCGTTCATTGTACCAATTCTCAAGAGAAAAATCGACCATCACATCACTAAAACGATACTTGGATTTTCCTTTACCTCCATTTGGCTCATTTTACGGCAATTGTATGCTAGTAACGCTCTTGGAGGTGATGTGAATCGTAGATTATTACTATCATTATGATTGTTATTGAAACTATCGCTATTACTAAATGTAAGTTTCAAGTTTTCCTGAGGACTTTCGCTGTTACTAGAATTGTTGTTTTTGATATAATTCGTCGAGTCCCCACTCTTGTTATTCGTGGGATACATGCCATTGATTAACGTGGGTGTCGACCATCGTTTAGTAGAATTTTCATCGGATGATTTAGGACGATATTGTGGCAATTGGTCGTCTGATGACGAAACTTTCGAAGACCAAAGATTTCTTTGTGAAAAATAATATGTCGTTATTAGAAATATGGACACAAGAAAAAGAATAAAAGCTACAAGTTGTATAGCATGTAATGAAGTCATTTTGCTATTAAATTTGTGTTGATACAATTATATTGTTTAAGGAGGAATAATTTCAGAAAGTTGTATATGTGTTAAATGCAGGATCTAAGGAAAAAATTTAATGAGAATAAAAAAATTTAAAAGTGGGAAACAATGAAAAAGTCAACTATTTAACTAATTTTTCATCATTATCGCATTCCCTTTTTATCACGAATAACAAATAAAAAAAATCTAACGCTAACATAAAAACAGGAAAAGGAATCCATAATAATGACCAATAGCGATAACATCGTCATCATCGAAAAGTATACATTCTTCTTTTAGAAGATGTGATTGGCGATTTTCGATCTTTATCATTCCCAATTTAACACTTATATTATCGTTATAATTTGTCATCACTGATTATCGTTTTGTTGTGTTTTACATGTACATTATCAAGCTAACTTTAACGCTAATGTTTATTTAGCCGAAATATTGTTTATATTTATTGGTTGTCGGCATTTTGATGTTATCGTAATAAAATGACCAAGGGCTGGGCAAATGTCTTAAGAATCTTCTTATATGAAGTTGTTATCAAATTTTGAGAACACATGACACGATTTGGGATAATGTATGATAATTTATTTTCTTTAAATAATAAAAACGTGTTAGCTTCTCTTTTCGTCGATTGGTTTTTTATTATTTACTATGCTTTGATAAATAGGTCATTTATATCACTGACCCGACGATTTATTTTGCTCAGCTAGAACTTTATTTCAACGCTTAGTAAGGTTCTTTTACCAAAGTTTTCATGATGATAATAGATTTTCCAAACAGAATTTACGAGTTTACCCTCTACCGAGAATGCGGGAAAATAAATCCGATACTATATATGGATTCATTCTGTATATGGATTCATTCTGTATATGGCACTCGTGCATGCATGTACGTATGCATAATGATAACGATAAATTGATTTGTTAATCAAACATCATCGTCATGATCTAATTGGTGAATCCAATAACAAAGATAACCACGACTTTTTGGACGAGTGTTGCCAATAGACAATGAACCAATAACCATTGTCTATTGGTTTGCCCATTGGTTTGTTCATTGTCTGTTGGCGCCAATCAAAGTTCACATAGAATCATTAGTTTTTTTTTATCAAATGTAAAAATGAGAATTGAAATACTTTATTTGGGTATTTATTGAGCATCAAGTTTGAAATCTACGTAAATATATACGTACAGTTCGTACTCTATATATCACGTGATATTTATGTTCGGCTTGTTAATGAACAAACGGACTTTCTCGAATTACGACATTTAGCCATTTAGCCGTTTTTACATTGCGTATTCTGTCTAAATTGCAGTATTTTGAAATTAGAACATTCGATCTTGCTTTTAATATAGAAGAGATGATATATAATATACATGTACACAGTGAACTGGATACGTATATAGCGAATCCTGAATAAAACGCTGCACTATTCCTTTGTTATAGTATCAATTTCATTATGTAAACCGAATCTCTGAATATGACAAAGAAAAGAGGCTGCATGAACCTTTTGTCGTATCCAGCCAGTATTATTGTGTATATGATACAATCAATCATTTTAGTACTTCTAAAATATAAATTTTAAATATAATGCTATAATACAGTTTTGCAAAAATGATATCGAATACAAGCACAAGTTCTAACGTTGATATTGACACAGCTAGTATAACAAAAAAAATGTGAATTTCCTGAAGATTCGGTATGAGAGCATATGCATTGGGAGACATTCATAATAATAAAATAACGAGAAAATTATACGGCAATAAAATATCGTGAAAAACAAGATGAATTAAAATTAATTGCATTTAGCTATTGAATGTGATAGTCACTTAAATATCTTGAATTGTTGACCAGCACAAATTCTTCATCAAAGGCCAAGAAAAATGATAAACAATATACCGATAGGACTGAGAACCCATGTACGTACAATATTGTCTATTGTTCCAGTTCATTGATTCTTATATCATCTCTTAGTGATATCCTCATTATAAAGATGTGTGTTATTTTTGAAATACAAGTTATTTTTAATTGATAAAAAGTTTTTTCTGTCTCTAAATAAAGTTCATTGCTACATATTTTGCGAATCGCTATTATCTTTATACTAATCTAGAAGTGTTAAATGGAAAGACATACACTAAAGTTGCAGTTTTGCGATGATAAGTCTTCTAATTGACATCCTTAAAGAAGAACGATCTAAGATACCAAATAGTGTTCTCGGATGGTGGAACTTTTCGATTTTATCTACTCTACATGTATCCGTTGTATCGAGGATATTAATGAGGAGTGAAAACCAAATACTTTGCATTTTCAGTACTACGGCTCTTTAGAATCTCCTAAGACACGCGAAGAAATTGTTGAGTATCTAAGCGAATGCAGTTTACACCAGTCGAATCTTTAATATCAATTCCAACCAACACAGGTATTTTTTTATTTCTAAATATTAACCTTTCATCTTAACTAAAAACTAAAGAGTTCTTTTTCAGGAATAAGATCCAAACATTTTTTATTCATACATTTGCACCATCCGGGGAACATTATTTGGTTTCGTAGGTCGTACTCCGTTATAGATGTTGCATATAAGGTGTATATCATAACTTCGTTCACCAAATGGTCGTTCACCTGTGATAACCTCGTACGTAATCATCTGAAACTAAATATCTGCAGCCATAGTGTATAGCCTTCCAGCAATATAAGCTGTATTAATATATTTCCAGGATGAAAATCGCGATGTACAAATTGTTTCTAGATTATCGATGATATCCCAATTTTGCTTCTCAAGTCATTGCTTCGTATTTGGAATTCATATATTTGCATAGATCGCAAGTCTTTACTATCGAGTATTCATTTGTAGCTGGGTTTTTAGTTATTCCATAATATTTAATGAGATCACTTTAGAACAGTCTGAATCTAACTTTGAAAAAGTTCGTTATATTGAAAAACAAAAAAGCAATACGCTCACATTTCAAAAGGTGTTCATCTTACCTCGTTTATAAACTCGGATGTAACTGTGTAATATTTCCCTTTTCTATCCATTTCTCCACTGATCCAATGGTCCGTCCAACCAGAATGCTTTGTAAATTGATCCAAAACCTCTTTTTGCAAGATATTCAGGCAATCTTTCAAAAGGGATCCATTCGAAAGAATAATATTCACCAGCAATTCGCATTCATTTATTAGACTGTCGATATCTTTGTTTCATCTGTGATATAGAATACATCCTATGCAGTACTCGTTTTTGGTACATTTACTACAATCATGAGTATTGTGAACACTCAACGCAGTACTTGTAGTGTTTACAATAGTAACAGTTATTACTACAATCATGAATATTGTGACCTGAACACTTGTTACAATAATAATCGTCTTGACAACTCCAGCGTTTCACTACAATCATGAGTATTAGATGACAGATTTGAGTGTTTTACGTATTTAAAAAACGATGATTTATTTATGTGTGAAATTCACTGTTTATTTTGTTTGTGTTTGTATCGATTTACGCATGAAAAATGACACAGGAATACATACTGATACGTACGTATCGGTATAAATTTTGAATACATCGTTATTTATTGTTATACACGTAGAAATAATAAGTACCTGTATCGGTATTCATTTGGGATTAAACTTGATTTTGTAGTAAACGTAGACATTCGACTGGTGTAAACTGCATCTGGATGTATTTGTTGTTTTTTGATTACATTTGTGGGAATGCCCGTTCTCCTGTAACAATCTCATACACAACCATCTCAAACCTATAAATATCTGCAGCTTAAGTGTATGGCATATAGGGAAGGACTCCACAAATTTCTCTTTATATCCGCTGGGCCGGTAAGTCCAAAATCGGCAACGGAAGCATTATATTTTATTAATATATTTCCAGGGTGAAAGTCACGATGCACCAATCCCTCTTCGTGAATTTTTTTCCGACTTATGATAATATGAATCAAATAGCTAATTTTTTCCTCCCAAGTTAATGTTTTGTAGTTATCTTGCGAAGATCGCCATAAGTCATTATTATTGAGAGCGGGAATTACGGTTTTGGGTGGAATTAAAGAATTACGTTTTAGATCTACATGAACAATGATCTGTTTTTCACGTGTGTACGACCAGAGTCAAATAACGATAATATTCGTTATGGATTTTTCTTTAAATAGAATATGTTATTCTTTTATTTAATTGATATTTTATTCGTGAGGTTTATGAAGTTTAAAATTATGAAACAAAGATGATTTTTACAATTAAATAATAAGATATGATTTCTATTTTGTTTATTCATATCTTGATACCCATTTCCTTCCCTTCCTATCACTCTATTTTATATTAAATTGTCAATGTCGAGTCAATGTTGAGTTAAATATCGCGTCAATGTCGCCGAGATCCTCGTCAGGTGATCGACCACGATGAGATCTATGCCAGCCAACAGTATTCATTTGTAGAGCAGTCAGAATCTATTTTAAAAAAGTTGATTGTATTAGAAAACAAATAAGCATCTTAGTCGCACTTTAAAAATTGGTTTATTTTTATTTACAAACATTTTGTTTGAATCATGTAATGATTTCAACATAACAACCGTGTGTCCTTTACGTAGTTTAAATTTATTTTCTTGATCTCACTCGTCGTAATCATGCAAACATGCTTTATAAATTGTTTCAAAACTACCTTTTGCAAGATACTCAACATTTGTAGATCTTTCCAAGGGGTCCATTTAAAAAGTTTATTAATTCTTCATTAGACTGTCGATATTTTTGCTAGACACTACAATTTTATAAATTCGCTCGTGATATTCTCTGCTGTAGTTATATTCTTGGCAACGAGCACATCTACTACAATCATGAGTATCCGAAATTTTAAGCTCCATCTTGTTTATACGTATACGTTTATTTAAAACTTTGAAATAAATGAGATCATAATTACGTTTATATGCAAAAATAGCACACAACAAAATTTCATTTGTTGGACTTGAGTAATAGTAACAAAAAAAACAATGATCTAAATACACTTCTATTAATGTTAATTTATATAAAACTAGGACTATAACTAATGGCAAATTGAATAATAATTCAAAATTTATATCATTTTGTAGCTAATTTCATCGCTCTGACATTTATAAAACTTGACATGATTTTTTTAAAATTCATAATAATATTTACATGTGAAAGAAATGTATTGCGAATTAACTGTTTTACTTTAAAATTTTTAATGCTTTAAAATTAATATTTTTTTAAAAAAAAATGATATATTTACAGGTAAAAATTTCTAGATATTATAAAAAATAAAATCTTGTATGTAAGGTAAAGAGAGGTATTGTGGTGGATGGGAGGATATTGTGGCGGATCAAAAAAACATGCTTCAAATATAAATAAAACAAAGATGAAATATGTGTTTAAGTCTTGTATATATTTATATTTTAAAAATACATTGATAATTTCTTACAATATTGAAAACACCACAATACTCACATTCGCCAAAATACCCTCGTTTGCCTTATATTATAAAAACTTAAGCTACAAAATGATATATGTAATTAATTGATTATGGCGTGCAAACCATTTGACCATATAATGTATGGAATAGAAAATAACATCAATATAATTGAGAAAATTAAAAAATATAAGAATTGATTTAACCTTTTTAAAATTTTAATTAATCAATTTTCTTTATAAAATTTTTCTGTTGCGGATTTTGTAAATATGTCAGATTAGAGCTCCTAACGGGTCGGGTTCGGGTCGGACTATATCAATTTGATTAATCAGTAATTCAAGGTTCTCTTTGCATCCAGTGATCAGAGAAAGATGAATTCTAGCTCATTGGATTCGTCTCATTGAGACAAATCTAATGGTAGTGTTTCATCTCAATAGGAACGATATTCGTCGAGATATAGCATTTTGAAATTCCGATTAAAATTTTCGGGTCAGGTCAACTGTCTAACCTGACCCGCATTTTTCGGGTTGGGTCACGGATAATCCGAATTATCAGGTCAAAATTTGGAACTCTATTTAGATACATATCGGTATCAAATGTTATTTAACGCTTATCTTAGTCTAACAATCTTTTTTCGATTTTAAATTTATAGCATTTACCGTATTGTGCGAATTAAAGTATTTCGGGTATTTTACATTCTACAAATTTTATCCACAGACACTATAGTAAAAAGATTATTTGACTGGTTGGAGATATGGAGCTTCTGTAATTAAATCAGCTTTTACATTCTATAAACTGGAGGTACTTTAGCCTGCAAAATACGGGAATTGAATTCTCAGTACTATTTGATTTAGTAAAGAGCAATAAATGTAATAAAACTTTGTCGAATTCTATTTTCTATATAAAAATTATTTCTGATGAGAGGATTTTGTTTAATTAATTACACTTGTAACAACTAGATTATACACAATTCATTTTCTAATAAAGAATCAAGCCTTTATCATGGAATCACTGACAACAACAAAAGTTCAACTTATTACTTTATTTTATCATAACTTTAATTTGAGAAGTAATGGTCATCAGGAAGTTTCAGAAGGTTTTAAGCAATACCATAAAACACGTTTTTCGACAAAGGGTTGGTTGTTCACACTTTTACTTAATAAAATTAGTGTTATTTAATACTAAATGTACTTTAATAAATGCATCATTTAACATCTTTATTGCCAAACAACATTAGTTTTATTAAGTAAAGTGTTGAACAACAGCAACATAAGGTTAGGGTTTTCAACCTGATGGTATTAGTTTTCCTTTTTTGCACTCATTTCATTATCGATATTGAGAAGGCATAGTTGTCAATCTATTTAATAAAAATTTCAAGAACCTCTACTTTTATATTATAGTTGTGCCTCAGGAACACTTAGAATGGTTGTGATTATATAGAGGTCAAATTGAACTGGGAAGGGGTGTGATTGTAGAGAGGTTGTGATTATGACTGCATGACTGTACTAGCTTTCACTCAGATTTTTATACCATTAAATAAGTTAAGCAATTAAAAAAAGACGATAAAAAGTGTTTGATTTGTTTTAGAATCTTGGGAGACAATAAAAGGCAAACTCGATAACTGATTCAAAGCACGAATTAAAACGAAAGACCCGTCAATAAAACCAAACAACATATATATATAATTTGTTTGATATTTTTTAGGACTCTATATATATCTTGTGAAAACAGTAATGGAATCGATGGTATTTAGGATCTGTGAAATTGATACTAACGTTAATATAAATACGTAAAGCTATACAAGTCTGTTTTCATACAGTTTGCGTGTTTCTATGTCTGCAAAAAGACACTTCGTACAGATTATTCACAAATATATCAACCATGCTCGTATATTTCCGTCTATTTTACAGATATTTATAAGCGTATCCTTATAGGGAGAGGTTATTTTTACAGCCAAAGGAACGATAATTTGTGTCTTATGCATATTTTATGAAATTGATAATTTGAAATGTTAGTAGGTTGTATTAATTGTAGAACATTCCTATTCAACCTGATGAACGTGAAATTCTTTTATTTATTAATATTTAATTAATAAATTGTCCGTGTTTTTATAATCGAGAGTATGATTTAATGCAAATTTCCAGATGAATCACACGGGAAGATGATAACTAGTAAAAATAAGCACTCGTCAATGAACAATGTTCATACTCTGGTATAACATCAATCTAACAAAATTCAATGTGTTTAGAACGATTGTTGAGACTTTTTTTTATAAACAGACGTATTTATTGACTAAATTAATATATAGTTTAATCTCCATGATTGTTAATACATGCTTCAAATTGAACGTTAACGTTAAAAAGCAAAGCTCCATTTCATCGAGGAATATATTTTTGGCCAGTTATGTAACCTTATTCACATTATCGTTATCGAGTTCTATGCAGTGACCTTTTGGAGTGTTAATTTTTGATAATCCTGCGCACATCATCTCACTCCAAAGCATATATCGATATGGAGAACCGCACACTTTAAACCATAAACATCATAAATATTAATTCCAGAGATCGTACTGGAAAGCACATTTTCTTTATCGTTATGTATATTAAAATGCTTGACGTTAAGGTTAACTTAATAAATAAATTGGATTCTAAACTCGATAACGGCAGACAGAATTTTGAAAAGCATTGCACGTGAGTAATAAGTCCTACAGTCGGGACCAGGAAAAAGGTTGCACTGATAGAGAGGGTGCATTTAAAGAAGTGCCTTTAGAAACAGTTGACTGTAGTATCTTTGTATTTTCAGTTCATCAATCCGTATCAGTTCTTAAACCGTTTGGAAGGAACTGCATTGGACTGCTAATTCCACAGTCCTGCATAGAACATAATTTAAATGAGTGCCGAATTCCTTTTGAACCGTCCTATTATATTTGTTCTTCTAATAATAGAACAGGACAATAAATTAATTTCAAACGTTCGTTCTTTATCTATATTATTTAATATTTACCTTATATACTGCTAATAGAAACTTGAAGAGGTTAATTACACTAAATGGAAATGATGGACTTGAGCTAAAATATTCGTTAGTTATTTATGTGTCTGTGTATGTATGGTTCTGTTTGCAAGAGTGAAAAATTTGACGAGGTTCACTGCTACGGCGATACGATTATCAGCCCGTGTTGAGAATTAAATATGTAAAAAAAACACTTGTAAAATACTAATACAAATAAAGTTTTTACTTTGCATCAGTTTCTTTATTTTATTAATTATCTCCGCCAAACAAGTTTAGGTTGTTCTGAACTCCATCGTTGCGTATTGTGAAGAGATCGATGGATGATTATGATTATTAAACTCTCAATGAATCCTCTTTTAGACATGCAGAAAGGCACATCCGACAAATAACACAAACAGGCTGCACGCAAGTGTGCAAAATGAGCTCGTATAAACTCACAACTTTTCATATCCTCCTAAACAATGGAGATTAAGTGATTTTTCTCCTCCGGAAAAACTGTGATTGTTATTAATACGAGAATAGCAATTTTTTGTTTTTTTTTCTGTTGAATTAACTATTTTTATCGACGACAACTTAAGAAGAAATTGAATGACCAATTACATGTACATGTAATACGTTCATCACGATCATGATCGTCTCATTGTTTACCTTCCTGTCTTATACTAGCGATGTTACGAGTTCGGTCTCATTGTTGGCCATTGTGTACATGGGACACTAGAGTCCGGTCTGGCGCAGTTTTATAGAATTCCCAGTTCGGGACTGGTTGAACTTTCGTATGAATAAATCACTGGACTATATCAGTTAAAAAATCATGCGACTAATTGTCAATTATTCTATTTTGGTTGTAGAAACCGGTCCCCAGACCTAGCTTTTTCAGACGGATTAACATCGAATGTAAGGATTCATTGTGATGTGGTCTTTTCAAGGTTTTGCTATTGCGGGTATACTTTGAAAAAGCTTCATATGATAACGAAGTTTATTTATATCTATTTCTCGATATATCGGAATAAAGAGCTCTGGCTGTATGCACAAATAAAAAATATAGCATTCAATAAAGCTTTGGATTCAACTCAACATGTTAACAAAAAGTAATTTAGGTTACCTGATCTTTGATATATATATATGACATCGTTTCCAAGGGCTTTTATTCTTTAATTGCTAATCTTACTAACAAATTTTCGAGGTATATACTCATTTTTCATTTACTCATGATTTGATATATAATATTTTTTTATAAATTGATTTTCTTATTTAGATGGCAACAGATGAATATTCATTGTCAAGCATATTACATAAGTTACAAGATCCTATACCTCAATATGTCTTAGGTTGCTTTCCAGCTATAGCAACAATAGGGGCATCCCCTAACGATTATTTATTACAAAAACTACTGTGGATGGCACGATGTCTTGCTTGTCCCTTTTTGGGGTTGTTTTACACCTGCAACATAGCGAACGACGAAAAGGCATTATACTGGCTCCCAAAAATTTGTTTTATTGGAGAAGATGGAAGCGAAATCCCTTACAGACCTTTCGGACATCGTGCTATGTCGATAGATTCCAGTGCTGTGTCAGAAAAATTGGAAGCTTGCATAGCAAATTCATCCGTGCTGGAAAGACTATCGTCGTTGTTGTCAGTATTTTTCATACTACTCGGTGCGTTTGCAGGAATATCAATGGTGGTAAGGTGGGATCTTTGTGAGGATTGGCCATATATACCAGTAGCATTATCCTGGACATTGCCTGCGATCGCCGTAAGAATATCTAATGGGAGAATGTTAGTAAAGGATCCTAAGAAAAAGATAGGAGACGAAAAAATAAAGGTGAAACAATTCGATAACGACAAAGCTAAAAAACACAAAAGTAAACGCGTTGTGATCACTGCTTTCGCATCAATAGTATTTCCTTGGATATCAGTAATTATGGCCTACTTCTCACCTCCAATAGGATTTTTTTGTCGGAGCAAATATCTCACAATCTTTTGTACCATATGGTCATTCAACAATATTATTGCATACATACACCACTGGGTAGAAGAAAAGAATAAAATTGTTGATCGTATAATTCGCATTTGGTTTTCCGTTTCTGGTATTGTGGTAGGAATTCTCTTACTTGTCCTAGCTGTGCTAAGCGATGATAGATCATGGTGGGTAAGTTTGTTCGGAGAAGCTTGTGATTATGCATGCGCACCATTTTAGCAAACTATTTGCATTTTTAGAGTTAAGTTAATTAACATTGTTAGGCAACCATGTCATCGTTATATTATCTAAAGCCGTTTTCTGTAAAAATGCTTAAGTCACGATAGCTATTGCGTAATTCAAAAATAATTTTTGTATGTTTAGTAATATTTAACTCAGTTAACAATATATTTAGTCATTACTCTTCAATAAATTTTGTTACAATAATTGAGGTTATTTCACTGTGCGTCCAATTTCTCCACCGTATCTTCCATCGATTACATCTGCGAAATATGTTCGCATCTATCTCACAAAATACTAACTCTCCACTCATACCAGTAAATCTTAATGTGTATAGAAGCAATACAGTATCTATGGAAAGAGACATTTGGGTGTCACGAAAATGTGTTCCAAGCGTTAAAAAAAGTTATATTACTACAAGAATTTTCGTAAAGCATGAAAATATGAATCTTTACATCGTTGAATATCTTTGTTTTTCAGTTGAATTGGTGTCAAGAATAATGGATGCGAGAAAGTTTTTTTGTTCTGGCCAGCATCCATGTCCAGTGATTTCTAATCGTGACCGAATCACCTGACGATGATCCGATGATCGTAGTACATGTATGTAAAAAAATAATAATTAATTAAATCCAATATCCCCATTCTTAACTAAATACAGTCTTTACTGTGATCGTTACCACTAACGCTAACTCGTAAATCCTCAGCATAATTCTTTAATTCCGCCCAAAGCCTCTAAACCTCTAATTCCTGATAGCACTGCCGCTACATACCAATAACAATAACGATAGCAATAACCAGAGTTTTATAGAAGTCAGATCACCATTTTACAATCAGAATCTCAAAGCGAACCTGCTTATAAAAAAATATGCCTGGAAATTTCTATATGTAAAAGATATAAAAGGTCACTTTTACATTTGTTTGCAGACATATAAACACATAAATAACATATCGATATGTACGTAAAAGGTTGTAAAAGTTTGTTTGTCCTACATTTTCATGTAGTCAACTCTCCCTAAATGACATTTCCATCAATAAATGCACATTCACAAGCTTATAAGACCTTTAAATATATGGACGAGTCAATCCAAATAGTTTGTATCTCGAAATTTTGCTTATGAAATTACTTTTTGTGTTCTGACAAATATTCCTTGCGAAACTTTGCTGATTCTTTAAACTGAAACTCTAATTAAACACACGTGAGTGTTATAACTGTGATTTTCCTATGCATCCGAAGCATTTTTCTATGTAACATTATGATTTCAAATATTTTATGTTTCAGAAACAACTTTATCTTTAAATAATAATGCCTTATAAGTTCGGGGCTGAGCCATAGCGTGCATTAGATAGGGTGTATATGGTGTGTGCATTTATAGAGGTGTACTTAAGGAGATTTCTCTGTATTATAAAGTATAAAATTCTGTCCTCCATATAATCACATCTTATAGTTTAGATTTGTGTTTTCAACCCAGTGATTATAACTAAAGCTTCTCGTGAGCCAGCTTGTAAGCCAAATACAGGAATAACAAATAACCATTTTGGCTTGTGAGCATTTTAAACTAAATTTAATAAATATAAGATATGACAAATAGAAAGTTTGGCTTGCAAGCCGGTTTATAAAAAGCTTTAATTATAACAAGATACATGTACAACTGTAATAAAAATATTTATAAATTAAGAAATGAATTACGTAAAATTAAAGCAAGGAGAAATAAACAAGTTAATTAATATTAAGCTAAAAGAAAAACACTTAGTTTTATAATATATAAAAGCTATCAAAATAACAAATAATGAAAAGTTATAGTTAAAATATGACATCAATATAAATTATTAAGTGAAAAGATTGCAAAACCACTTCTGGTTGCTCAGAAATATGTATTACTTTAGCAATTAAATACTAAAAATAATTGTTAATAGTTATTACAGTAGTAACAGAAATATAAATAATTATATTTTTTCTTATTATTTAATTGAAAAGCAATTGTAATTATATAAATATTTATAAATATATACTTTATAATATAAAGAGCAAGTTACTAAATATATTTTGCAATATATTAAAAATTTTATAATTGTCTTTTAAAATTCAAAATATATTATAAAATATATTTGATAATTATTAAATTAAAAAGAATATTATAAGATAATTTATAAAATGTAGTTCATAAAAAGAGATGAAAATTATTTTAAGTGAAATATAAAAAGTAAGTTATAACAAAACATATTACAATAGTATTTATATTCAAATACCCGATTATATACCAATCCAATTCAAATCAGATTTTTGGATATTAATATATTCGAATTTTGAATTCACCTTCACTAGTTACAGAAAGATTTTTTTGTATTAGTAAAAGAGATGAAAATATATTTCTAAAGAAATGGTTCTTAATATATCACTTATATGCTGATTTGCATTTATATTTGTATTAATACAGAGGAAAAACACACTAAATACTGATATTTAGAAATATAAAGTCCTGTTTATATGCATTCTGAAAATAAAATTTTTATGCATAGTTATTTTTAAAAACTATCTGTCATTACTTTCTGTGTGACCTGTATTTTCAAAATTGTTATAAGTAAATTTCTTGTTTATATTATAAAGTATATATTTATAAACTTTTATAAAATTTTGTTATTTGTTTATAAAAATGAAATTCTAATTATTTTTAATAAATACTTGTATTTTGATAAATAAATAATATTTGATTCATTGTAGTATAAATAATTTCACTTAAAATTATTTTTCAAGTCGTCTCATTAATTTTTTCTTAAATTATCTTTTTTAATCTTTATAATATAATCATTTTTTCATTTATTGTCTTTTCATTTTAATAATTATTTTAATAAGATATATCACTAAATGATCTTAAATAAATGTATTCACTATAAAATAAAGTGCATATATGTTGAATTTTCTTTTGATAATTGTTTTATTCATTTATTTGTATATTTTGAGATTCAAAAAATTTCAATAATTAATTCTGAAAAATTATTTTTTCTTTACAATTATCAAATATATGTTCACTAGTTTTTATATGATTCAGAACAAATGTATTTATCATTATTTTCCCTACTATAAATCATTATACATGTACAGCGAAAATTATCAGCTCGGTAAAACAGCTGAATGGCTACCGAACAAGAAAATTGGGAAATCAGATCAATTTAATGCTATTATTGCTAGGTAGCAATAATGGCTTGACTAATACGTTTTCCATTGTCTGTGTGATATCAAATGTCCAAAATTTAGCGTTAATAGTGGAAATTTACCTTGGAGAATTTATTATGGTCTTGTAAGAGCTTTTATTCGAGTTTAATTCAAATAACGCTCTTAGTTTCAATGGAATTCTAAGCAAATATACATATATCATGTTTGACAAATCATGGACCAATTTTTGGAGATGGTTGTGATTTAGCTTTTGTAGGTCCAAAGTTCAGCACAAATTATCAGAGTGTCAAATTCAGCTGTTGGTTATGATCTAGAAACAGTTTAGTTGGGGATTTTGGATTACAGTTCGTAATCTTTATTATAATTTATTTTTTTCATTATCTGTTGATTATAGCACTTTAAAAGTGTATTTTAAATAAAAAAATTATCTAGCGCTTCTGTTTAATCTTTTATAGAAAACATTTTCTTTATGCTTTCATGAATTGAAGCCTTAAGTTAAAACGTTGAGTTGTTAAAGTTGGTATCATATGATAATTAATTCGAAAAAATATTTGAAGATAATGGCTATAGATGAAAGCTTGAAAAAGGAGTTGTCAAGTTTTTTGTATTTTTTTTATTGGTGCTCTATATAATGCACAATATTAAATAAGTAGATTTTTGGATTAAAACAACTACTAATCACATAAAGTTAAAAGGGCTTCTCAAATACAAAAACATTCTAATTTACTAAATTAAACAATACGAAATAAAATTCCAAATTAAAAATATATTTTTTCAAACTCAAAAGACTCGACTAGCTCCCCCGCTCGATCGTGACCATTGTTATGTGCTTTTTGATACCATTTTAATGCCATGTCTAGATCTTTTGGAATTCCAAATCCGTATTGATAACATTCGGCTACTTTGAATTGAGAAATATTTAACGCAGATTCAGCGGATTTTAAATAGCATTCAAATGCTTTTTTCTCGTTTCTATTTGTTCCATTTCCTTGAAAGTAGCATTCTGCAAGAAAATGCTGAGCGATTCGAGCATCAACATTTCCTGGCTCTGCTGATTTTTGAAAACACGAAAATGCTTTCTGCAGATCTCTATTCGTTCCTTCGCTGTAATAATAACACCTACCAAGATTGAATACTTCATTACCTCCATTCTCAATTGGCTTCAAATACCACTCAAATGCCATTTTTTCATCTCGTTGTGTTCCTATACCATTTCGATAACAATTACCCAGATTCAATTGTCCATTAACATTTCCACCCTCTGCTGATTTCAAATACCACTCAAATGCTTTTTTCTCGTCTTGTTGAGTCCCTACACCATTTCGATAACACAAACCGAGACTATTTTGTCCATTAGGATTCCCACCCTCTGCTGATTTCAAATACCACTCAAATGCTTTTTTCTCGTCTTTTTGAGTCCCTACACCATTTCGATAACACAAACCGAGACTATTTTGTCCTAAAGTATTTCCACCCTCTGCTGATTTCAAATACCACTCAAATGCTTTTTTCTCGTCTTTTTGAGTTCCTATACCATTTTGATAACAAAAACCGAGATTGCATTGTCCATTAGGATTCCCACTCTCTGCTAATTTCAAATACCACTCAAATGCTTTTTTCTCGTCTTTTTGAGTTCCTACACCATTTTGATAACAAAAACCGAGATTGCATTGTCCATTAGGATTCCCACCCTCTGCTGATTTCAAATACCATTCAAATGCTTTTTTCTCGTCTTTTTGAGTTCCTATACCATTTCGATAACAAAAACCGAGATTACATTGTCCATTTTGATTCCCACCCTCTGCTGATTTCAAATACCATTCAAATGCTTTTTTCTCGTCTTTTTGAGTCCCTACACCATTTCGATAACACAAACCGAGACTATTTTGTCCTAAAGT